AAGTCTCAAAGCAGGCATACTGCTTTAATTTAAACAACACCAAGAAAAAAAGCCATTATAATATTAGGGGAAATAATCAGAAAACCTAGGTTTTAGTCCAGTTCTATGTCCAGTATCTATTTCCAAGGCTTTCTTTGGAAAAGAAATATTTTTTTTCCTTGCCTATAAAGTTCATTCCAAAGTTACAGGGCTATGAGTTGCTCCTTGCTAATATGAATAAAAAACATTTGAAAAATTATCACAAACTAAATATGGATCAAGTATGTCTAATCAATATTTATCATCTGAATTAAGATGTGCTAGATATGTAAACTACACACTGGAGTTTGAAGATTTTGGGCAAAAAAATGTAAACTATAACATTAGTAATTATTTATATTGATCACATGTCAAAATAATAGAATTTTAGATTAAGTAAGAAATCAAATTTAAATGTATAACCTTTTTAATGAGACTATTAGGAAATTGAGTTATATTACATATGAAATTACATTTCCATTGTGTTGTACTGAACAACCTGTTCTATACTGAAATCTTTCATAGGATGATTTGTCAACCCTTTTTTATTTTCCTACACATCTACTAGAGTGTGGCCCATAATGGATAAACAGGAATGAACAGAGAAACCTTTGTTTATAAGTAGAAAACGGCAACTAAATAAGACCACCGTGTGACTGTTTTCACGTCCAGATGCAGCACCGAGCTCTTTCTCAAGGATGGCCCATCACCTGCAGTGCTCTTCTGGAAACCTCCCTGTGCCTCTCTCCATTTAAACCCAGTGTTCTTTTGGAGGCCCAGCTGATGTCTGATTCACCCCATGATTTATTTGCCTACTCCAGCCTGCCTGTCATCCCCATCTCCACAGTTCCTATGTGGGTTCTATAATACATAATTCGACATCTCACTGGAATCTTATGTTTTGTTCTTGATACTCAACTAGATCATAAACTCCTGGATAGAAGACCACCTCTTTCAATTTTGTATCCCCCTCAGTACCTAGTACAAAAGGATATACACTAGTTAGCTGATAAATCCTCTTGATAGCCAGAAATGCAAGCATACCATTTAGCCTGGCAACTGTGTTTCTAGAAACTTATACTACTAAAATACTCACATAAATATGAAAAATAGTATCATCAAAGATATGCAATGTAGACTGTGATAGTAAATTAGAAGTAACATAAATGTCTATTAAGACTAGTGAGGCCAGGCACAGCAGCTTACACCTGTAATCCCAACACTTTGGGAGGCCAAGGTGGGAGGACTGCTTGAGCCCAGGCGTCAGAGGTTACAGTGAACGATGATCACATCACTGCACTCCAGTCTAGGCAATAGAGCAATACCGTGTCTCTAAAAAAAAATAAAAAATAAAAAAATAAAAAGAAATAAAAAAGAATGACCAGTAATTTGAGTCCACACTGCTCATTAAAAAAACAAAACACTTGGAATATGTATACACACAGACATAACAAAATAGTAGGTGAAAACAGCTGCAGAAAATCGAGTAGTCCTATTTTTGTTTATTCATACAAAATTTAAAAAAACACAAATTTTTAGATTGATGATGTCTGGTAACTAGGATACACTTTTTACATAGCTTGAAAAAAATGAACAGAATACACATGATGTTTGTAGTAACAAATATTTATGTTTTTAACTCACTGCCCCCAGACAGTAACTTATAAAACAATTTATGAACCCATTTTGTTTAAAGTAAGAGAAATAAGAGTTACTTCTGGAAAAGGAAGTATAGGAAACTTTCACATTCTAGAGCAGATAGTTGTTTTTCTTTAAATAATGGGTACTTACTTTAGTTACAAAAAGCCAAAAAAATTTAAAAAGAATTCCATTTTTCTCTGGGCTAGTGATCATTCCAGAGGGATAAGTATTTTCGGTCCAGAAAACTTTTCTTAGCTACTCCTTAATCTGTAGAGAATACCTTTATTGTTGGATTGCCCACTATACTAAATCTTAATAAGCATTACAGATAAATCTTTCCAGCAAATCAAATTCACAGAAGATGTTATCAGAAAAACTTCTCTGCCAGGTGAGTATTAAACATTAAATCTATTTGATAAAGGGAATCTCTCCAATGAAAAACTAACCTCAAAAATTTAATGAATTATTGTAAAAGACCCAGCATTAAACTGGTCCTTACAGTAATAGTTCTGTTGTTAAATACCTCATACATATCTAGAGTAATCACAAACTTGCCCAAGTCCCTGTTTCAATGCCAAACTAGAGTTAAGACAAGAATCCTACATAGTTTTAACCATAGGAACAACAGGAGAAAACTGAGAACCACCCAAGGGAACACTGGATTCTGTCCCCTGGATCTGTACTTCATAATGTATCACCATTCCCCCTACGGGCCTTACTCCAATTTGGAACTTACAAAGCAGTCAAGGCCTTCTCCACTAAGCCTCTAATAAAAACAAAGGAGGCAGAGCTATCTGCTCCCTCCTTTTCCATCTCAGCATCCACCCTGAGATTCAACTGTCGTTTTGCTTTCCCCTCAAACTTCCTGCTGAATAGCTTACAGCTATTGAAGCTAAGTGCTTGCTGTGTACTAATTCATTTATACACATAATAATCCTGTGATGTGTTCCTATTTTACAGATGAAGAAACGGAAGTACATGGTCAAATAAGTGGAAAAGCTAGGATTTAAATCCAGATACTCTAATTCCTCAATACAATCTTTACTCCACAGCAATCAGTATCTCTGATATACTTCTTTTAACCTAAAAACCATTAGAGATCTTCAGACAGTAAGGCTCTTAGGTTTCAGTAACAAATCTGAAAGTCAAAAGATCATCCAAATCAAATGTTTGCTCTAGAATATGCTGTTTGTTTGTCCTCCTGAAGCTGGATAAATGAGAACTAGGAAATTTGCAAAATGTGCTTGCCAATGCCTTTTGGGGTTTTTTTGGTTTTTGTTTTTGTATGGAGATGAAATCTGTTTCCCAGGCTGGAGTGCAGTGGTCCAATCTCAGCTCACTGCAACGTCCACCTCCCAGGCTCAAGCAATCCTCCTACAATTCTCTCACCTCAGCCTCCACAGTAGCTGGGATTACAGAAGCGCGCCACCACATACAACTAATTTTCGTATTTTTAGTAGAGACAGGGTTTCCCCATGTTGGCCAGGTGGGTCTTTAATTCCTAATCTCAGGTGATCCTCTCGCCTCGGCTTCCCAAAGTGCTGAGATTACAGGCGTGAGCCACCACGCCCGGCCTTTTTTTTTTTTTTTTTTTAAAAAACTCTTGAAAATCTGTTTAAGGTAATAAACACTCAACCTTTTAACCTAATAAAATAACCAGGTTAAGATTCTAGTTCTGTAACTGTTTTCTTTCACCAGTAAAATCAGACATAAACATGTATACAAAGCACTTAGCATGACTGGGTGTGGTAGTTCATATCCGTAATCCCACCACTTGGGAGGCTGAGGCAGGAGAATGGGATCACTTGAGCCCCGTAGTTTGAGACCAGCCTGGGCAACATAGGAAGACCCCTTCTCTACCAAAAAGTTTAAAATTAGCCCAGTGGGGTAATGCACACCTGTAGTCCTAGCTACTCCAGAGGCTGAGGTGGGAGGATGGCTTGAACACGGGAGTCGAGGCTGCAGTGAGCCATGATGGCACCGCTGCACTCCAGCCAGGACAACAAAGCAACACCCTGTCACAAACAAAAACATACTCGAGAGTAAGGAGTCAATGTCACCTACTACTCCGAGCATGTGGAAAAACATACAAGTTAAAAATGCCCTAAACAAGACCCATGAATTCCTGTTTACAGAAAACAAATGTGAACATTTAAAGAATTATACTTTCTGTTTAAATGTATGAGTTATAAACAAGAAAAACTAATGGCTAATTAAAAATAACATTACCAAATTATCACACAGAAGTTAATTATTACACAAGAATGAATGTTACTAACAATTAACCTGCCTCATAAACTCATTCATTCCATGTTTCAACGTGAAGTACCCGAATGTCTTGTTTTCAAGTTTTTTTTTCTCTTTCCTGTGCCATTCCTTCTCTTACCTTTAGCAATGAGGTAATAATCTTTGCTTTCCTTCTTTCCTCCACGCACCCCTCACACAATGTATTCCTTATCTAATTATGTGTTTGAAGTTCCAGAGACTAATTTAGAAACAAGGCGACAACTGAATTCTCCCCCACCTGGAAATTACTTCAAGGCTGCAGTTAATTTACAATCCAGTTACACCCGCGATGGCGCCAGCCCGTTCACCAGATGAGGCAATAACCCAAGATTAATCATCTGAGCAAGTCAGGTAGACTGGGACCCCGGCGCCCCAATACCAAGCTCCCCTTTTAAAGCCCTTGCATTTTATCCAAATTTGAAATGGTTTCCTTAAGTCGGGGGTCTGGACCACGTCCCCATTGCTAGCTTTGGAAAACTTTCTTTCTGGGCACTTCGTCCTTGTTGATTGGCTCTACAACCAGCGAGCAGCCCAGCCTGCGCTAGGTTACACAGCAATTTCAAATTTTAGAATAAAAAATCCCAAGTGTTATATACATTGGAAGCACTTGATATAACCATTGACCAATCTTTTATTGGGTAGGCTCGGGGCACCTTCAATGGATTAAAAACGCATCACGGACAGACAACGATGACCGTCCTTGATGCCTGCAATGTCTAATGTTCCGCTACGTTCCAGATTGGTTCGCGCTGCCGATGGAGTCTCAACAGCCGGGGTTACAGGCAGCGCTTACTGGGCTCCAGGCGGACTACACGCAACTATATCGTGTCATTTTGTCCTCGCAGCAAGGACTGATACGTATGCCCCTGTTTCAGATGAGGAAAATGAGGCCGGCGAGAGGCTGAGTGATATGCTTAGCGGTACAGAGCTAGGAAATCAGCGACAGAACCCAGACTGGAAAACATGCTGGCTCCAGAGCCCCGTCCTTTGGACCTGTTCCCGTCGCTGAGGAGGGGCACGTCAGTGATACTAAAACGTGTAAAGAAATACAGTACCAGTGGAAAGCAGGGGCTCCAACGGGGTAAAGGCATGCTCCATAACGGATTATTGGCCTCTGCATTAAAAAAAAAAAAAAAAAAGTTAGACTTTCTCAATTCGAATTAAACATCGCGCGAAACCAACAGCACGCGAGACGCCTGAAGCCGGCACTCAGCAGCGCGCTCCGGGACCAAGGAAGCAGCTGAGCGGCTGCGCAGCACCCGGCGTTGGGGACCCGCTGCCGCTCGCCTGCAGCGCCGCCGCCGGCGGGAGCCCCCGGGAGGCCGGCTTCCGCCGGCGGCTGTGAGGTCTTTGGGTTTGCCCCTGCGGCCCTCCCCGCGGGCCCGTCACCATCCGGGGACCTGGGGAGCCAGGGGCCGCCGCCCCCTGCCGCGACCCGCGCGCCCGGCTGCAGTCGCACTTACACAATGGCGGGTGGAGCCACAGAGCGGTGAGCACAGGCTGCAGCAGCGACGGCGATCGACCGCTCGGCTCGCGGCTGAGTAGCCTTAGCGCGCGGCCCTGGCTCGCCGGTTTTAGCCCGCGGGATGCTAGGTGGCCCCGCCCTCTTCCGGGAGCCGGAGCGCTTGGGAGACGCTCCCGCTTCTCTGCGTCCGGCGCCGCCTGCCTCACGTCTCCAATGCTGCGTTTTCCGAGCTGGCTCTTAGCTGCAGTATTGCTGCCCGGCCCTCTGCTCTCAGCTTTAGCAAGGAGGCCACCATTTGCTAGAACCTAAGTGGCGAATTCCCCGTCACCTCACCCATGCTTAACCTGGCGTCTGAGGTAAACAAACTTTGCACCGCGCTGCTTCTAGTCCTGCTTGCTGTGTCCTTCCTGGGCCGTCCGGTTAAAAGCTTTCCTTCCGGGCCGGGCGCAGTGGTTCACGCCTGTAATCCTAGCACTTCGGGAGGCCAAGGCGGGCAGATCACAAGGTCAGGAGTTCGAGACCAGACTGGCCAGCACTCTACTAAAAATACAAAAAAGTAGTAGAGCGTGGTGGCGCGCGCCTGTAGTCCCAGCTACTCAGGAGGCTGAGGCAGGAGAATCGCTTGAACCTTGGAGGCGGAGGTTGCAGTGAGCTGAGATCTAACCACTGCACTTCAGCCTGGGCGACGGAGCAATACTCCTCCCTCTCCAAAAAAAAAAAAAAAAGAGAGAGCTTCCCTTCCTTAGGGAACACTTCATTAAGAGATTTCCTTCTTTGCTTTGTGGAAAGAGAATTTTTTTGTTGAAAGAAACTTTAAGCCACCTATCTGCCGCTGCAAAAGCTCACTCTTGCAATACAGGCCTTTCCAATACTGAGCAAGCCTAATCTCCCCAAAAAGTTATTTCTTAGACAAATTTTCTCTCCCTGTACCTGCTGCTCTTCTTCCTCCGTTGTAAAGGAGGCAAAACTTTACCGTCTTAAGGTCTCCACCTGTGCCTAACAGGTTAAATTGATATGAGACAGTTTAACAGGAGAAGAGCTTACAGCTATGTGCGTAGGAGTCCACAAGAAATGACCGGAAGAAGTAGGAAGCCTAAATGCTTACATACAGGTTTAGCTACAACAAATCTCAAAAGTCCATGTTTAGATATGACCTTAAGGAACCTAAAAGACAATTGGGGTACAAGGAAAATATCTGCACACGTAATAGGCAAGTGGTTGCTGTATTTATTTAAGGAAGAGTTGTTACCGGTTGATGTGTCCAGGTTCTTGGTGCCTTGAACAAAGAATTGGACAAAACCCACAAACAAACCAAGGAAAGAAGGAAGCAACAACAGCAGAGATTTATTGAAAATGAAAGTACACCCCATAGGTTGGGAGCCCCAGAGCACATGGGCTCAAGAGTCAAGAGCCCCGTTAGAGAATTTTCTGGGGTTTAAATGCCCTCTAGAGGCTTCCATTGGTTAATTGGCATATGTCCTGTGTAAATGAAGAGGATGAAGTAAAGTTACAAAGTCGTTTACTGGATGGAAGCCATCTGTAAACGGAGACGATGTTTCCTCTCATTGCTGAAGTGTTTTCATTTGACTTAGTTCCAGGAAGTCAGCATGAATCGGCCTTATGTTTCCTGCCTCCAGACCCTATTCTCCTGCCTCAGAACTACATACATATTTATTAGTAAAAGGCAAACCAGAAAAATCATGACCATGGCTATAAACAGGCAAGGCAAATTATAGAATGTAGTCAGATGGCAAAAGCCAGTATTCAGAAAGCAGTCTCCAACAATGAATTCAATGGCAGATTGTAACCAATTTTTTAAGTAGTAATAAAAATTTACACTTACTGACCAATTACTATGTTCCAGTTAGTGTTGAGGGGTATTATATTTTATGTAATTACCCTAAAATGTAGGCTCCAGGAGAACAATGACCAAAATTTAACTGTTTGCCTTTGAATCCTCTCTCTAGCAGGTTACTTGTTGATGATTTGTCTCCCCCTACCAGAGAGCTAGCCCCCAAGGTCAGGAGCCATGTCTGTTTCCTTCCCTGCTATTTCTCCAGCCACACAGTGTGTCTCACTGAGAGAAGTTCAATAAATGCAAAATGGATTAACAAATAAGGGAGAAAAATGGAGAATTATGGTACTTCATACCAGGAACTACAGGCATCCCTCCTTTTATTGTGTTTAGCTTTATCGTGCTTTACAGTTACTGCATTTCTTACAAATTGAAAGTTTGTGCCAACCCTGCATCAAGCAGGTCTGTCTGCAACATTTTTCCGAAAGCATGTACCTGCTTCATGTCTCTGCGTCATATTTTGGTAATTTTCACAATACTTCAAACACTTTTGTTAATATTATATTTATTATCGTTATCTGTGATCAGTGATTCTTGATGTCATCTTTGTAATTGTTTTGGGGTGCCACCAGCCATGTTCTTATAAGATGCAAACTTAATAGATTAATGTTGTGAGTATTCTGACTGCCCTAGTACTGGCCACTCTCATTTCTCTCTCCCCTTGGGCCTCCCTATTCCCTAAGACAAAACAATATTAAAATCAGGCCATTTTATATCATTACAATGGCCTCTAAGTGTTGAAGTGAAAGGAAGAATTGCATGTGTCTCACTTTAAATCAAAAGCTAGAGATGATCAAGATTAGTGAGAAAGTTTTGTCAAAAGAAATCTAGGCTTTTTGTGCCAGTTAGCCAGGTTTTGAATGCAAAGCAAAAATTCTTTAAGAAAATTGAAACTGCCACTCCACTAAACACACAAATTATAAGAAAGATAAACAGCCTTATTGCTATGAAGAAAGTTTGAGTGGTCCGTGGAAAAGATCCAACCAGCCACAACATTTCCTTGAACCAAAGCCTAATCCAGAGCAAGGCCCTGATTCTCAGTTCTCTGAAGGCTGGGAGAGGTGAGTAAACTGCAGAAGAAAAGTTTGAAGCTGGCATGAGGTTTGAGGAAAGAAGCCATCTCCATAACATAAAAGCGTAAGGTGAAGCAGCAAGTACTGATGAAGAAGCTGGTGCAAGTTGACCAGAAAATCTAGCTAAGATTATTGATGAAAGCGGCCACACTAAGAAATATTTTTTCAGATGGAGATGAAAAAACCTTCTGTTGGGAGAAGATGACTTCTCAGACTTTCATGGCTAGAGAGGAGAAGTCAATGCCTGGCTTCAGAGCTTAAAAAGGACAGGCTAACTCACTTGTTAAGGCCTAATGTAGCTGGTGGTTGTCAGTTGAAGCCAATGCTTGTTTACCATTTTGAAAATCCTAGGGCCCTTAAGAATTATGTTAAATCTGGCCAGGCCTGGTGGCTCCTGCCTATAATTCCAGCACTTTGAGGGCCGAGGCGGGTGGATCACAAAGTCAGGAGTTCGAGACCAGCATGACCAACATGGGGAAACCCCATCTCTACTAAAAATACAAAAATTAGCCAGGTATAATGGTACATACCTGTAATCCCAGCTACTCAGGAAGCTGAGGCAGGAGAATCGCTTGAACCCAGGAGGCGGAGGTTGCAGTGAGTCGAGATCACACCACAGCACTCCAACCTGGCGACAGAGTGAGACTCCGTCTCAAAAAAAAAAAAAAAAAAGAATTATGCTGTAATCCTGGCACTTTGGGAGGCCGAGGGGGTGGATCACCTGAGGTCAGAAGTTCAAGACCAGCCTGGCCATCATGGTGAAATCCCATCTTTAAGAAAAAAAAATAAAAAAGCTAAAAAAAAAAAAAAATTAAAAAAGAATTATGCTAAATATTAGGACAAATACCTAATGCATGCGGGGCTGAAAACCTAGATGACAGGTTGATAGATGCAGCAAACCACCATGGCATATGTATACCTCTGTAACAAACCTGTACATTAAGCCCATGTATCCCAGAACTCAAAATTATATGTGTGTGTGTATAAAGCCATACCTAGGTATTTAGTAGAAATGAAAATGTGTGTCTTCAGGAAGACCTATGTATAAATGTTCAGGACAGCTTAAAAAAAAGAATTATGCTAAATCTACTCTGCCTGTTCTCTAGAAATGGAACAACAAAGCCTGAATGGCAACACATCTGTTTACAGCATGGTTTACTGAATATTTTAAACCCACTATTTTACTGCTCAGAGGTCATTTTAACATTCATTTTATATGACTTTCTAAATCCATTTTCTATGAATAATCAAAAACAGAAGTGAGACTGTTCTACCATTTACATTTACAAAATTTACTCTGTTGTGAACATTATTCCACATGAGACCATACTTATCTAGCTCATTCTTTTTTTTTTTTTTTTTTTTTTTAATCAGAAATTACTGCAGAGTGTTAAGTTAGGGAAGAAACCTCATTTCATCCATTCTAACATTCCTGATGAAGTGCCCCTTTAGTTTTTTGAGAGAGAGCGTCTTGCTCTATCAGGCTGGAGCGCGGTGGTGTGATCTCAATTCACTGCAACCTCTGACTCCCTGGTTCAAGCTATTCTCCTGCTTCAGCCTCGCAAGTAATTGAGATTACAGGCATGCACCACACCCAGCTAATTTTTGCATTTTTTACTAGAGACGGGGTTTCACCATGTTGGCCAGAATAGTCTTGATCTCCTGATCTCGCAATCCACCCACCTCGGCCTCCAAAAGTGCTGGGGTTACAGGCGTCAGCCACTGTGCCCAGCTGCTTATTCTTTTTAATACAGGCATACCTTTGAAATACTGTGGGTTTGATTCCAGATACTGCAATTAAGCAAGCTGCATAAATTTTTTGGTTTCCCAGCTTATACAAAAGTTACCTTAACACTATTCTGTAGCTTATTAAGTGTGCAGTAGCATTATTTCTGAGATAGGTAGGTAGGTAGGTAGGTAGGTAGGTAGATAGATAGATACCTTAATTAAAAGTACCTTATTGCTAAAAAATGCCAACAATCGTGAGTTTTCAGTGAGTAGTAATCTTTTTGCTGCTGGAGGGTCTTGTCTAGTTGCTGATGGCTGCTGCCCAGGGTAGTGGATTCTGAAAGCTGGGGTGGCTGTGGCAAATTTCTTCAAATAAGACAAGAATGAAGTTTGACTCATTGATTGATTCTTCCTTGCATGAAGGATTTCTCTGTAACATGTGATGCTGCTTGATAGCATTTTAACCCCAGCAGAACTTTCAAAATTGAAGTCAGTCCTCACCATCCTGGCCAACATGGTGAAACCTGTCTCTACTAAAAGTACAAAAATTAGCTGGGTGTGGTGTGGTGGTGTGTGCCTGTAATTTGTTGTTCCATTTCTAGAGCACAGGCAGGGTAGACTTAGCATAATTTTTTAAGCTGTCCTGAACATTTATACATAGGGCTTCCTGAAGACACACATTTACTTTTATATTTTGTTACATTAATACATATTTTTTCAATAAGTATATTAAAGAAGTTTCAGGGCCGGGTGCGGTGGCTCACGCCTGTAATCCCAGCACTTTGGGAGGCCGAGGCGGGTGGATCACGAGGTCAAGAGATCAAGACCATCCTGGCCAACATGGTGAAACTCCATCTCTACTAAAAATACAAAAAATTAGTTGGGTGTGGTGGTGCGTGCCTGTAGTCCCAGCTACTCGGGAGGCTGAGGCAGGAGAATTGCTTGAATCTGGGAGGTGGAGTTTGCAGTGAGCCGAGATCGCACCACTGCACTCCAGCCTGGCACCTGGCAACAGAGCAAGACTCTGCCTCAAAAAAAAAAAAAAGAAGTTTCAGATGTTTATAAAAATATATATTAAAAGAAATTTAATGAGTAATTATTGTTAACCTTTGATACATTTGGTGCTTCCAAGGAAAGCAGGGTAAATATAAACATGCATGCATACATACATACATGGTACAATTATCTGGGGAGAGATTCCAAATCTTCAACCAAATTTTCAATTGATTCTATGATTCCAAAAAGGTTAATACTGATGGTAAATAGGTCCACAGTATGATTCCTCGAGGTAGGAAGGAACTCCAAGGAGTAAGTTATATAGTTTTCTCCAGGATACAAAGAAAACTGTTTTGTCTTCCTCACCAAATATTCTCCGTCTCTGCCCTCATTTTCTTGTGCCGGTGGAGTTCAAAATGTATATTGACCGGGCGTGGTGGCTCATTCCTGTAATCCCAGCACTTTGGGAGGCCAAGATGGGTGGATCTCTTGAGGCCAGGAGTTTGAGACCAGCCTGGCCAACATGGTGAAACCCTGCCTCTACTAAAAATACAAAAATTAGCCAAGCATGGTGGCACACACCTGTAGTCCCAACTAGTCAGGAGGCTGAAGCATGGAATCGCTGGAACTC